CTGGGGTGGACACAGAGGGGCACCAGGGGGGGACTGGGAGTCTGGGGAGCAGAACTGGGAGTGCTAGATAGGGACTGGGAGCACTGGGGAGGGACTGGGAGCGCTGGGGAGGCTGGGAGGGTGAACGTACAGGGGCACTGGCAGGGTACTGGGAGCACTAAAGGGGAACTGGGAGGACTGGGACGACTGGGAGAGTGGACACAGCAGGGTGCTAGGAGTGTACTGGGAGTGCTGGGAGGTTATTGGGATTGCTGGGTGTTACTGGGAATACTGCAGGGGGGTTACTGGGAGCACTAGGAGCCCTGGGGCAGAGTTACTGGGAGCACTGGGAAGGTCGACTGGGGGAAACCGGGAGCACTGGGATGTTACTGGAAGCACCTGAGCGGGAGGGGGTCCTGGGAGAGCACTGGGTGTTACTGGGGGTGTTACTGGGAGGGCACTGGGAGCTACTGGAAGCACTAGCTGATGGTGGTGTCCCTGCAGACACCATGTTCCTGGCCAAGGACACTGGGCGCTGGTGGCCCAAGGACAACGTCCTCCCCACGTCCCTCCTGGTGAGCACCCGTGTCACCTCGTGTCCACCCCGTGTCCCCCTCTGTCCTCCCGTGTCTCCTGTGTCCCTGCACATCCCCTGGTGGCCCCACAGTGTCCCTCCGCGTGTCCCCATGGCCCTCCACGTGTGTCCCCACCTCCCCACCTCACTCCACATGTCCCCCCCGTGCCACTCCGCACGTGTCCCTGTGTCACTTCGAATGTTCCTGTGTCTGTATGTCCCCCTTGTTCCATCATGTCCCCCACATCACACCATGTGTGTCCCCCATGTCCTCATGTCCCTCTGCGTGTCCCCACAATGTCCTCAGGGCCCTCCATGTGTCCCTCTGCGTGTCCCCTGTGTCCCTCCACGTGTCCCCCGTGTCCCTCCATGTGTCCCACGTCACCCAACATGTCCCTCTGCGTGTCCCCACACCCCCCCCCCCCCTCACCCTCCCCTCCCTCCCCCCCCCCCCCCTTCCCCTTTCTGGGTGCTGGGACACCCCCCCTCCCCCCAGAGAACCACCCTGATGCCACCTGGTCCCCCTCCCCTCCACGCTTGACCCCTTTTGGGGTCTCCCCCCTCCTGGCGGTGCAGTGGGGGCTCTGAGGGGCTCCCCACGAAGAAGGAAGGAGGTGGCAGAGCAGATGGTGGTGTCTCCGTGGTGGCCCTGGGGACATGGTTTGCCCTGCTGGTGGCCATCGTCAACAGAAAGAGTCATGGAGGACACATGATATGGCCAGTGGCTTCTATAGCCCTTCCGTGGTGGCCACAGGGATCTGGTTTGCCCTGCTGGTGGCCATCATCAAGAGTCATGGAGGACACGTAATATGGCCAGTGGCTTCTACAGCTCTTCTGTGGTGGCCCTGGGGACATGGTTTGCCCTGCTGGTGGCCATCGTCAACAGAAAGAGTCATGGAGGACACATGATATGGCCAGTGGCTTCTATAGCCCTTTTGTGGTGGCCACAGGGACGTGGCTTGGCCCACTGCCACTCATCCTCGATGTAAATGACTTGGGGCAATCCATGATGTGGCCAGTGACTCCATGACCCTCCTGTCGTGGCCCTGGGGACACAGTTTGGCTCCATCAATGCCCATTGTTGGCTTGTGGGGAACCCGTGGAGGCAAAGCCACGGGACTGGGGACAAACATGGACACAAAGACTTGGGGAGGACTCATGATGTGGCCAAGGGCTACCACAGCCCTTCTGTGGTGGCCATGGGGATGTGGCTTGGCCTTTTTGATGCCCATCAAAGACTTGGGAAAGGTCCATGGCTTGGCCAATGGCTACTACAGTCCTTCTGTGGTGGCCACAGAGAGGTGGGTTGGCCCTGCTGGTGTCCACTGTCAACACAAAGACCTGGGGAGATCCCATGAAGTGGCCAGTGGCTACCACAGCCCTTTAATGGTGGCCATGGGGACGTAGTTTGGTCCCATTGTATCACAAAGATTTAGAGAGGTCCCAGGGTGGGGCCAACGGCTACCGAGGCCCTTCGGTGGTGGCCACGTGCCCACGGTTGGCACCCACCATTCAGTCAGTGAGATGCCACGTGGGCAAACGGTGAGGAAGTGTGTGTGGGGGGGTAATTTTTAGGGAGAAAAATCGCAGTAACGGCACAAAAAATGTCCTTAAAACCCGCGTGTTGATTTCCACCACCTGCTGGTGCCATGGAGTCCATTCACCGTCCCCCCTCCACGCTCTGGGGGGGGAAGGGGGCCATGTCACCGGGAGGGGACAAGCCGGACGGACCCCGTGTCCCCCTGTCTGTCCATCCAGGGCATCGAATCCATGGCTGGGGTGGGGTCAAAGTCTTCCAGGTTCCTCCTGGGGGTCCTCAAACAGCCCCAGGGGCACAGGAGAAGCCCCAAAACCCACCCTCGGGGCCAGTTTGGGGGTGACAGGGACCCCCACCCGGGGACATCCTCACACCGTGTGAGTGGGGCCGGCACCCGCAGCCCCAGCACCCGCACCCTCGGTTCCTGGCCATGTTGCCATCCCAGCTTCAGGCGGTGGTGGCGCTGGAGGTGGTGGCGGTGGCGGCGGTGGCCCAGGTGGTGGCCCTGGTGGTGGCCCGGGGTGGGTGGCAGCGGCATGACGCTCGAGGAGGGTGCGGTGGGAAAAGCCCTTGGTGCAGAGGCGGCACTGGAAGCGCTCGGGTCGGTGCGTGCGCATGTGGACGTTGAGGGAGCTCTTCTGGGTGAAGCGTTTGCAGCAGACGCCGCACTGGAAGGCGCGGACGCCCGTGTGGGTCACCATGTGCTTCAGCAGGTAGTCCCGGAGGGAGAAGGAACGCCAGCAGATGGAGCACTGGTGGGGCTTCTCACCTGCAGAGAGACAGCCGTGGGTCAACACGGATCAATACAGGTCAACATGGATGGACACAGATCAACTGGGAGCATCACAGGTTGACATGGGTCAACATGGAGCAATGTGGGTCAACGTGGAGCAACACAGGTTGACATGGGTCAACGTGGATCAACAGGGAGCATCACAGGTTGACATGGGTCAACGTGGAGCAACACAGGTTGACATGGGTCAACATGGATCAGTACAGGTCAACATGGAGCAATGTGGGTCAACATGGAGCCACATGGAGCAACATAGCTTGACATGGGTCAACATGGAGCAATGTGGGTCAACATGGAGCCACATGGAGCAACATAGCTTGACATGGGTCAACATGGATCAATAAAGGTCAACATGGATCAATAAAGGTCAACACGGACCAACGTGGATCAATATGGAGCAATGTGGATCAACATGGAGCAACATAGCTTGGCATAGGTCAACATGGATCAGTACAGGTCAACATAGACCAACACGGGTCAACATGGATCAGTACAGGTCAACGTGGGTCAACATGGAGCAACGTGGGTCAACATGGAGTGATGTGGGTCAACATGGAGTCACATGGAGCAACATAGTTTGACATGGGTCAGCATGGATCAGTACAGGTCAACGTGGAGCAATGTGGGTCAACATGGAGCCACGTAGCTTGACATAGGTCAACATGGATCAGTACAGGTCAACATGGAGCAATGTGGGTCAACATGGAGCCACGTAGCTTGACATAGGTCAACATGGATCAGTACAGGTCAACATGGAGCAATGTGGGTCAACATGGAGCCACGTAGCTTGACATAGGTCAACATGGATCAGTACAGGTCAACATGGAGCAATGTGGGTCAACATGGAGCCACGTAGCTTGACATAGGTCAACATGGATCAGTACAGGTCAACATGGAGCAATGTGGGTCAACATGGAGCCACGTAGCTTGACATAGGTCAACATGGATCAGTACAGGTCAACATGGAGCAATGTGGGTCAACATGGAGCCACGTAGCTTGACATAGGTCAACATGGATCAGTACAGGTCAACATGGAGCAATGTGGGTCAACATGGAGCCACGTAGCTTGACATAGGTCAACATGGATCAGTACAGGTCAACATGGAGCAATGTGGGTCAACATGGAGCCACGTAGCTTGACATAGGTCAACATGGATCAGTACAGGTCAACATGGAGCAACGTGGGTCAACGCAGATCAGTACAGGTCAACACGGACCAATGTGGGTCAACATGGAGCAGCACAGGTTGATATGGGTCAACATGGATCAATAAAGGTCAAAGTGGACCAGTGTGGGTCAACATGGAGCAACACGGTGTAACACAGAGCATCACGGGTCAACATGGTTCCACAGGTGAACGTGGGTCAACATGGGTCACAGCAGATCAACACAGGTCAACATGGAGTAACACAGCTCAACATGGGTCAACACAGGTCAAGAACGGCTCAACATGGGTCACCTCAGAGTGATATGGGACAACACAGATCAACACAGGTGTACATGGGTCAAACTGGAGTGATATGGGTCAACATGGAGCAACATAGCTTGACGTGGGTCAGCACAGGTCTACATGGGTCAACACAGACTGACATGGGTCACCACATAGTGACACAGGTCAACATGAGTCAACACGGAGTGATGATCACCATGGAGCAACGTGTGTCAACATGGAGCAACACAGAGGAACGTGTGTCAACATGGACTGGCATGGAGGGACACGGGTCACCCAGGTCAACACTTGATGGACGTGGGTCAACACAGAGTGACGTGGGTCAACCCTGATCACATGGAGTCATGTCATGGACCAACACAGAGGAACACGTGTCAACGTAGATTGACATGGAGTGACACGGGTCAACACTTGATGGACACGGGTCAACACAGAGTGATGTGGGTCAACCCTGATCACATGGAGTCACGTCACGGACCAGCACAGAGGAACATGTGTCAACATGGATTGACATGGAGTGACACGGGTCAACAGACTGACATGGGTCAATCCTGACCACATGGAGCAACGTGTGTCAACATGGACCGACACAGGAACATGTGTCAACATGGATTGACATGGGTCAACACTTGATGGACATGGGTCAGCACAGAGTGACACAGGTTAACCCTGATGACATGGAGTCATGTCACGGACCGACACAGAGGAACATGTGTCAACATGGATTGACGTGGAGTGACACGGGTCAACACAGAATGACGTGGGTCAATCCTGATCACATGGAGTCACGTCACGGATCGACACAGAAGAACATGTGTCAACACGGACTGACATAGAGCGACACGGCTCCCTGTCCCTCTCCACATCACCATCCCCATCCCCACGTGTCCCCACTCCCACATCCCCCAACATCTTCCCGTCCCCTCAAGGGACCCACGTGAGCCCCGTCACGCGTGTCCCCTCCGTGTCCCCTCACCGGAGTGGATGAACATGTGTTTGGTGTAGTTCTTGCGGGAGCTGAAGGTCTTCTGGCAGTGCCCGCATTGGTAGGAGGGCTCGGGACACCGCGAGGGACCGGCCTGGGCCACCTCGGGGACAGAGGGGACACCACCCTCCGCACCCCCCTCGTAGAGCGGTGGTGGTGGTGGCACGAAGCCACCCGGTGTCACCTTGGCCCCGAACGTCGCCACCCGCCCCGGTGTCTCCAAACCGCCCGCGTCCTCCCCGGGCCAGGGGGGCAGGAAGGTGTCGGCGAAGACGTCCCCGAAAAAGGGTGGCTCCTCGGTGACGAAGGAGGGGGCGGCGAAGCCTTCATCCCCAGCAGCCGCGGTGGCCGTCCCCTCCTCCTCCTCTTCCTCCTCCTCTTCTTCTTCTTCCTCCTTCACCGGCAGCTGGAGCCGCAGCGGTTGCCGTTGTTTCCGGCTGTGGCAAGTGGGCGCCGGGTCCAGTTGGCCAAAACGGAGGTCGGGCTCCGGCGGTGGCTTGGGACGGGCGTCAGGTGGGGTGGGGTCTGGGCGTGGCCAGGGCGGGGCAGGGGCGTGGTCCGGGCGTGGCCGGGGCGTGGCCGGTGGTAGGACTTTGGGTCCCCGGCTCTGGGAGATGATCTGGGTGCACTCGTCGATGACGGTTTTGATCTGGAGGATGGAGGCGGCGGTGAGGATCTGGAGAGCTTCCGACTGGGCCACCACCAGGCACCCGCTGTACATGAACTCCACCAGTTGGCGCACGGCCCCGCTGGGGACAACCGGGGGCACCTCGATGGCCGAGTGCCCCAAAAGGAGCTTGTCGTGGAAGAAAGGGCTGCCGGCGGCCAGGACGCAGCGGTGGGCGCGGAGGGTGGCCTCGCGGATCCGGACGGTGACGTCGCAGAAGTGGCCGCCCAACCGTTGGCCATTGAGGGTCTCCAAGAGGGAACGGCTGAAGTTCTGGAGATGGATGTAATGGACGGCTTCCGCCATGGTGGTGGCCACCACTGGCCGCTGGGGGCCACCGCGAGGGCTGAAGACACCTGAGGGAGGAGCATGAGAGGTCGGGGACGTCGTATGGGGTGTCACCAGGGATTGGGGACATCAACGCGGTATGGAGATGCCACCAGGGCATCACCGGGGACACCGGTGAGGACATCTCCGGGGGGTAAAGGACAGGGACAGGCAGGAGAAGCCATGAGGGTGTCACCAGGACATCCAGGGAGGACATCAAGAGGGGGAGTTGAGGACACAGCTGGGGACATCAGCATGGTCTGGAGATGCCAGCAGGGTGTCACCAGGGGTTGGAGACACCTTATGGGATGTCACCAAGGGCTGGAGAAACCCTTTGTGATGTCACCAAGGGATGAGGACCCCCTGTGTGATGTCACCAGGGTTGAGGACACCCACTGTGATGTCACCAAGGGATGAGGACCCCCTGTGTGACATCACCAAGGGTTGGGGACACCTTATGGGATGTCACCAAGGGCTTGGGGATACCAATGGTGATGTCACCACGGATTGGGGACACCCACTGTGACGTCACCAAGGGATGAGGACACCCTGTGTGATGTCACCAGGGGTTGGGGACACCCAATGTGATGTCACCAGGGGTTGGGGACACCCTTTGTGATGTCACCACGGGTTGGGGACACTCACTGTCATGTCACCATGGGCTGGGGACACCCTGTGTGATGTCACCATGGGCTGGGGACACCTCATGGGATGTCACCAAGGGCTGGGCACACCCAATGTGATGTCACCAGGGGTTGGGGACACCCTGTGTCACGTCACCAAGGGTTGGGGACACCTTATGGGATGTCACCAAGGGCAGAGGACACCCACTGTGACATCACCAAGGGTTGGGGACACCCTGTGTGACATCACCATGGGCTGGGGACACCCACTGTGATGTCACCAAGGGTTGGGGATACCTCAGGTGACATCACAAGGGCTTGGGGACACCTTATGGGATGTCACCAAGAGCTGAGGACACCCTGTGTGATGTCACCAGGGGTTGGGGCCCCCAGCTGTGATGTCACCAGGGTTGGGGACACCCACTGTGATGTCACCAAGGGATGAGGACCCCCTGTGTGATGTCACCAGGGTTGGGGACACCACAGGTGACATCACGAGGGGTTGGGGACACCATACGGGATGTCACCATGGGCTGGGGAAACCCTTTGTGATGTCACCAGGGGTTGGGGACACCCACTGTGATGTCACCAGGGTTGGGGACACCCACTGTGACATCACCAAGGGTTGGGGACACCTTATGGGATGTCACCAAGGGCTGGGGACACCCTGTGTGATGTCACCAAGGACACCCAATGTGATGTCACCAGGGGTTGGGGACACCCTGTGTGATGTCACCAAGGGTTGAGGACACCCAATGTGATGTCACCAGGGGTTGGGGACACCCTGTGTGATGTCACCATGGGTTGAGGACACCTCAGGTGACATCACGCGGGGTTGGGGACACCCTTTATGATGTCCCCAGGGGTTGGGGACACCCTTTGTGACGTCACCGCGGGGTTGGCGACAGGCAGGTGGGGCGGAGAAGCCACCAGGGGTTGGGGACACCTCGTGTGACGTCAGCGGGTGGCAGCGCCGATGACGTCATTGGGGGGCCTAGAGGGCCTGGCGACACCCGGGGGACACCCCCACCCCCCCACACCCCTCCCCCAGGGGACACACGGGACACCCCTC